TTTGAGCTGATCAAACGCCCAATTTCCATGAGTCAAATTCACACAAAGCTGAAGAAGGGCGACTATGCGAATATAAGTGATCTCACGGGTGACCTGTACTTGATGCTGGACAATGCCAAGAAGGCATTTCCAATCACGCACCGCACGCACAAGGATGCACTGAAAATGCAGAAAATCATGAATGCAAAGCTGGTCGAGGAGTCACTGGAGGAAACCAGCGACATGGACGAAGATGAAACTGATGAAACATTCACAACCAGCGTGCAGCCAGAGAAACGCAAACCGGGCAGACCACGCGTCAATTCAAGTTCCAGCACGGCTCACACGTCAAATAACTCAAACTCACCGAAAGCGAATCGCATTGCTATAAACGCGGCCATCAAAAAGAAAATTCTCAGCATCCAAAAATACTTGGTGGACTATACAGTGGGCAACCGACGGCCAATCGAGATGTTTATGGAGAAGCCGCCGCGCAAGGTATATCCGGATTACTATGACATAATACAGAATCCCATCGACATGAACACCATTGAGCACAATATACGGGCCGATCGCTATGCCACTGTTGAGGATGTCGTTTCTGACTATCGGCTCATGTTCTCCAATTGCCGACAGTACAACGAGGAGGGCTCCAATATATACGAGGATGCCAATACTCTAGAGCGTGCCTTGAATGAAAAGCTCAAGGAGTTTCCTGGTCTGGTTGAGGTCAAGAGACCACTTCAGAAATATAAGCTGGGAAGGAAGCCAAAGGCAGCGCTGCTAGCTGACCGCGAGCGTCTCTGGCAGTTCTATGAAACGCTGCGCGACTATCAAGAGCCGAAAGGCAAGCGGCAATTGTCGCTGATTTTTACAAAGCTGCCATCCAAGAGCGACTATCCGGAATATTATGACATCATAAAGGATCCCATGGACATGGAGCGGATTGCCCAAAAACTGAAGCAGGCTGCGTACGAAAGCGTGGACGAAATCGCCGCTGACTTCCTGCTTATGCTCGAGAATGCCTGCAAATACAATGAGCCCGACTCGCAGATCTATAAGGACGCATTGGTGTTGCAGCAGTTGACGCTGCAGCTGAAGCAGCAATTGCGCACTGAGCGCGATGCACTGCCCGATGTTCAGTTGGCTGTTCAGGAGCTGTTTTTAACTCTCTTCTCGACGGTCTACAACCATCAGGATGAGGAGGGACGCTGCTACTCGGACTCTTTGGCTGAGCTGCCCGAGTACGATGAATTGGGCGAGGGCGCAAAGGTACGCGGAATCTCTCTGGACCTGATCAAGAGGCGGCTGGACAAAGGCGCGTACAAACGTTTGGATGTTTACCAAGAGGATGTATTTGCCTGCTTGGACCGGGCGCGTAAATTGTCGCGCACTGATTCGGACGTCTTCCAGGACTCCATCGAGCTGCAAACTTATTTCATACGGAAGCGAGATGAGCTGTGCAAGGACACATTAAGTTCGCCGGCGCTCTCATTCACAGTGGACAGATTGCTTGCAGACGTGGAGGTAATGCGGCTACAAAAGCTGATGCAAGAGGAGCAGGACCAGGAGCAAGAGAAGGAGGACTTCAATGCAAGCGCCAAAGGCGAAAGCATGACAATCAACCAGCAGGTTTACTCGCCTGGTGACTACGTATACGTGCAGATGCCAGACAATAAGATTCCCAGCATTGCATGCATCGAGCGGCTGTGGACTACCCCGACCAATGAGAAGCTGATGCAGGCCTCAATCTTTCTGCGACCCCATGAGACCTATCACGTCACGACTCGTAAGTTCCTCGAGAAAGAGGTATTCAAGAGCAGCATCTCGCAGACCATATCCATGGACAAGGTGTTGGGCATGTGCTACGTCATGCATATCAGGGACTATATTAAGCTACGCCCGGATGGGTTGCCCGAAAAGGACGTGTTTGTTTGTGAGTCGCGCTACAACCTGCAGGGACGCTGCTTTAAGAAGCTCAAGAATTGGCCAACGTCGCGCGAGAGCACGAACACCTCGGTGAGATTTGTGCCACGCGAAACGCCATTGGAGCTGAAGCGTGTGATGTCCGTGTTCAAGGAACGGATCGAGAAGCACAAGGGTGAACTGGAAGAGCTTAAGATGCAGGAGGTCCTAATCGAAAAGGAGAAGCCCAATGTAATCTGTGACGCGCCACCAAATGCCCAGGACAACAGCGTCTACTATCAGCAGTACAACACCATTTGCAGCGGGGTCATCAAGACCGGGGACTACGTATATGTGGCCACGCAGAGCGGCAAGCAGTCCGTTGCCCAAGTCCAGCAAATCTGGGAGATAAATGGCAAGTCGTACTTTAAGGGACCATGGCTGCTGTCGCCCAGCGAAACAACGCCGGCTTTGGGCAAACAGTTTTACCGCCAGGAGCTGCTTCTCAGTACTGTTGAGGACATGAGTCCTGTCATCAGCATCGTGGGCCGATGCGCTGTGCTGGAGTATGCCGAGTTCATTAGCTCCCGGCCAACCGAAATCGCTGAGAGTGATGTGTACATATGCGAGTCTGTCTACGATGAGCTGAAAAAGGCTCTGCGGAATCTGGTAGTTGGCAACCTGCGCAAGTTCCAGCACAGCGCAGAGGTTACAGAGGATGAGATCTTCTACTTTAAAACGCCTATAAAACCGACGAAGGATGTTAAAACCGAGTTGAACGAGCTGGCCATGCTAGAAGACTCCATGGATGGCGACACACCGTCCCTGAGCTCGGATATAGTGGCAATATCGTCCCCAGCACCGTCGATCAACTCCACGCCGCTTACCTCTAAAGCAAAAGTCAAAACGACCAAGAAGAGCCTCACCGGCTATATTCTCTACTCCAGTGATGTGCGAAAGGGTAAGTACTGACTGGAGCTATTAGTAGTTCCTCTATATAAACAGTTTTGCTCCCATTTACAGGTATAAGTCAGAGCAATCCGGATGCCACATTTGGCGACATTTCGCGCTTGGTGGGCAACGAGTGGAAGAGTCTGCCAGCCAGCGTCAAACAAAGCTGGGAGGATCGCGCCAACAAGCTGAACGAAGAGGCCGCCATGCGTCGTGAACTTGACGATAACCAAAACTGCGGCAGTCCATTGCCTCAGCACTCTATGAGTAGCCAGGAAGCTAGTCCACCGCTGACCTACGAGTGTCAGTGGGACAAATGTGACTTTCAGTTCGAGGAAATGGCCGACTGCACCGAGCATTGCCTGTCGGATGGCACCGGGCACATAAACCGGCATCCGCAAGCGGGAGTCGAAATGGAGTACGTCTGTCTGTGGCGCAATTGTCCTCGTATTCGCAAGTCGATACAAGCGTTCCCCAATGTGCTGCGTCTCGTCAAGCATGTGCGCGAGGTGCATCTGAGCAAATGTGGCAAGCCGCTTAGCATCGCAGAACGAAGCAAGAACTTTATACCGCGCAAGCAGAAGAATCAACCGCAATTATCTTTAGCGATGCCATCCAGCAATGTCATGTCACCGCGGGCGCCGCTCAACGCGGAGATATTGCAGCAACAGCAGCACCAATTGCACCTGCAACAGCAGCAGCAGCAGCAACAACAACAACAGCAACAACAACACCAGATGCAGACCATTGTGGCGGGACCGCCTCCAGAGCCTATGTTCGTTACTGTGCCACCCCGTGCCAATCGCGTCATCCATTCCGAGGCGTATATTAAGTACATTGAGAGCCTGCAGACGGGCAGTCATTTGAGTGTCAGTGCCTGCAACAACAATTGGCGGCGATCATTAACGCACGTGCATCCCAACCAGGTGGGCAATACGAAACTGCCGGAGCACTGGCTCGGCCCCGATGTACGTGACCGAGAAAATGTGGTGCAGGCCCTGTGCCATTTACGCAATTTCATGCTGGATGACGTACTCGAAATCCGACGCAGCTGCAACTAACCTTAGTTCTCCATTAAAATCTCAGCTTACCTTTCTGTCAAAACAATACAAACAAAGAAATACTGTAAGATAACTAAACACTTGTATTTATATGCATGCATATATACTCAAATGCATTTGTTAAACTTGCATGTAAATGTCCTATGATTTCTGCAATACAATCGATATATCATTTATACATATGGTAAGAAGAAAACAAAAAAAACAATAAACAACTTGTTCTTATAACACTTACTTCATTTGTTTATGATTGTGTAAATTCGGAAAAATATCCGTTTCTGATTAGGGGTAGAAGAAGGAAGTAATGTTTTTTATATACAGAAGTATTTATGAATCGATTATAAATAGATTTTATTTTCTTATTACTATTTATATAGAACAGTTTATTTTGAATATCACAAGTGCTGAGGTTTTACATTGCTAGACCTCATATATGGCAATATATATATAATGATAATTATATATAACATAGTGACGAGGGGGAAAAGCCCATAAATTTGTAATTAGTTTAAAATCTAAACTAATATCTGCTGAGTAGGTCAAATTATATTTTGTATGTGTGTGTACATGCCCTAACAATTGAGCCGATCATTTTAAACCGAGTCGAGACAAATTTATAATTTGCATCTTAGAACTCGAAAAAATTAAATTGAAAATTTGCTTAGACCATAAATTAATTTTAAATGGAGCCCCCTTTGTTGTTCAAAACTTTAATTCTTGCTGTCTTTGATATGATCAGACTTTAGATAATTTGGATGTCTAAAGCGTCCCATTCTTGAATGATGGCATTTTATGACTTAATTAAATTTCCAAATTCCACTTAAACTGACTGTTTGAGCATTTATAAAAAAGATTGAAGTATTTCATACTTATCATTAAAGACTCTGCATATTTCTGGGAAACTGTGATCGATCAGCTTTATCCCTTGGAAATAACTCCTGCTTCAGGATCTGTTTTTCCTTTTCCGAGCCCTTCAATATTTGCTGCACACGTCTCGTGGATATAGGCAATGGCAACTTACTCCGTATTCGTCGCTTGGCCCGCTTGTTAATCAATTGTGAACGACCTGGGCGGGTCTTTGAGTAAGTTTTCCATATTTTTATATTTTCCCATAATCTTAGCAATGTTACGAATCGAGAGCACTATATCCCTGAATTCCACAATTCTGTCATGTGTTTTCTGTGAAAAAATAACATTAGAATTGCTTTATGTATTAATTGCAGTTAAAACTCATTTATTTGTATTACTTTTAATAGGTTGAACCAAAGTCGTTATTAAAAGCTCGAATGGCAAGTCGTTCGTTATTTCTATGCTCAGCTTTGTTCCTTTTTCTTATTTCCCGCTACTTAAATCGCTATTAAGCTAAGTTGGCATCTCTGGTCGACGGATTGCACAGACTGGTCACTCTAATTGCTAAATACAGCTGAGTTTGTTTATTTTGGTATTGTATTGGAAAAATTGAAATATGTCGAGTGAGGAAAAGAAAAAAAGAGGCAAAAATTTTACGGCGGAGGAGGAACAAGTGCTCATGGAACTCCTCGATGAAAGAAAGAATATATTGGAAAACAAAAAGTCAGATGCGGCTACGTGGAAGCAGAAGGAGCAGGCCTGGGAGGAAATGGCAGACACCTTTTATACCAGAACAGGCATACGCCGAGAATGGAAGGCGTTACGGGATAAGTTTATAAACATGAAACGAAGGTCCAAACTCGAACTGGGGGACGACAAGAATCACAGCCTTCGCAGCGGCACAGGAAAGTATATAGCTTTAATGGGTGAATCAACTGCAGGCTTGGGCAAACAATTCGACAGCGACTCGTGTGAGTATATATTTATTATCTAAATTGGGTAAAATTCTCTAAATATATTAATTTCTGCAATTCTCTTATAGCCAATGTGCCAAATGAGATACATTTCGAGGGGGACGATGAAATGTTTGGAAGTTCCACCGATACACACGACGTAAGCGAAGATAATTTTGGACGTGCATGATTTAAGAAATTATGCTTTTTTTAGATCCGCAATCGGATTGAACATAAAGATGTCAGAGCAAATATAAGCTCCGACTGGCCGAGCATGAATCCAAGAACACTGCGCAGCTTGGATGAGGAGAAGATTAAGCTAGTGCTGCTTCAGCAAGAATTTTATAAAAGTGAAAACCAACGCGCGCAGGAAAAACATAATCACGAAATGCTCAAAGAGAAGATAAGGCTGGACCAAGAAGTTCAAGAGGGAAAGCTACGAATCGAAATGATGGAATTGGAAATTCTTGAGAAAAGAGCCAGACTAGATTTATAATGTAAGTACACTATTTTTGATAACCCAAAACAATATATTAATGTCTACTTATATTATAGAGAGAGAGAGAATTTTACGTTTAGTAACTAAGATGGCTAAACGACTTCGGATTGCCGGAGATAGAATATCCTTGCGGATACTAAACCAGTCTTAGTGCAATCTGGTTGACCTAAATGGGTTAACTGCTATTTTTGGCTCAAAGCATCATACCTTTTATTACCAAGTTAATATTATTATTTAAATTACACTTTCGATAGCAAGACAATATAAATTTTATATGTACGACCGATCGTTTCTATAACAGTTTTTTGCTATAGAAATCTGAGTCGGCCGATTGCGACATTATAATGTACCGGTTATCAGACGTATTGGCTTAAAATTTCGTTAATCTATTCAATCTCCAATCCTTCAATTTGTTTTGTCTTAAATTATACAAAGAAAATGTAAATGTCTAGTTTATGTTTGTGCAAGAATATCAATCTTCGGCTGACCTAATGATTATATGTATAGTATGTATATTATTTTTATTCTTTTAAGCAATCACAATATTGCTTGAGTGACTCTGTATATTATATGCCTAGTGAATTAAGTCTAGTGTTAAGCCGATTAAATTTTCGAAATATTCTCATATATTAGTGATGATATAAAAGATTCGATTTGTGTTAAATATTTTTGTAGAATCCATGTAAAGCAAACAAAATCTAGTACATCTGTTAATAAAAATAAATATAATAAAAGACACTCATTAAACATTAAGTGAGTTTAATGTAAGTTTTATTATTAGTTATTGTTAGATTAGCATAAAAATTATATTTGATTAAAATAAAATATTTTTATTGTGGACATATTATTGTTACTGAAATATTCAATATTCGGATAAAGACGAGTTCGTTATATAGCTAATTGAATCTGGTCACCCGAAAACTATCGTCTAAATGCGATTATGTGGAATAATCGGCATCTGGCAGCCATGACGTCATGGCGGGGTCTTTTCTCGCTTTTGTTTTGCTACGGTGGTACGACAACAAACCGGTTCCTAATTGAGCGCTGATAATGTCACTTGGTTATTTTGGCCACGGTTATCTAATTGGCTGTCCCGTTTAATGCTCACCCAATCTCTGAGGCACTCGCACGCTCTCTTTCGATACATTTCCGCTACAGCTTCGCCTTAAAGCTTTCATACAGGCGAACAGATATCAGTGTTCAGTCGTAGTTCGTCTTTGGTGAATTGCAGACGCTAGTTTTCTGTCGAAATTGAAATTAACCAAATTGAGTAGCAACAATGTCCGAGGGCGAATCGAAGTTTGGGTTCAAGGACATGGAGAAGGCGTTGGAGACGCTGAAGTTGTTGGAGAGCCATGACATGCAGTACCGCAAGCTGACCGTGCGGGGTCTACTGGGACGCGCCAAACGCGTCTTAACGAGTAAGATTCGAACGAATCCATTTCTATTTACGACCATTCTTATCCATATCGATTTCCATGAGCAGTGACAAAGGCTGCAGATAAGGTGAAGAATATAAACGATGCCATCGGCGTGTTTGAGAAATGGCTGGAGGAGAACGGAGGCGGTTCCTCTAACAAGAATGCAAAGACCGATGGCGACGACAAGGTGGAGACCGTGCCTGGCCTGGGCTTTAAGGACAAGGCAGCAGCACTGGCAACTCTCAGGTAGATGTCATTCACTATGCATACTAATAAGAATTAGCTGAAGGTCATCAGCGCCAGCGGCACTTTGACTTTGCGGCCACTATGATGTCATATCACTGTTTTAGTGTTTAATGTGAACGCTCCCTCTTTCGGAAGTCTAATAATTTGGCTGAGAGACCGCCTACCGACTTCCCTCTCTGACTGTCGCTCTCTCTGTGTGTATAGATGTGCAAAGCATTTGGCACGCTACGCGAGACGCATTCCACAGTCTAGCTATAGAAATATTTATATTCACATATGCGTGTTAAATTAATGTATCGATACATTTTAATTGTAGTATTTTGGAAGGGCGTGACCCAGATTACCAAAGACTAGCAATCAAGGGCCTGATTGGCAGCTCGAAGCGAGTGCTCTCCGGCACCAAGAATGAGGATAAAATTAATTCTATCAAGGAAGGCGTGCAAGTGCTTGAAGAGTTCCTTGAAAAATTCGAAACAGAGAACCGGATCAAGGACAATCGAGCGTATCTGGCACATTCATTGATAACCAAATTGCCTGAGCCGGAAGATAAACTCGCGGCCGAGTTCCTTGCGGCGTATGGGGGATCTAAAGCGAAGGGAAACTATAAGCATCTTCGTACGATGTATCCCAAGGACGACACAACGAGCTGGGATATAGTACGCAATCGGAAGATAGCTAAATTGCTGGAGAAGATTAAGAGCGAAGATGCAAAGCTGTTCGACAAAGAGACAGGCGCTCCCACTGAAATACACTTAGAGCTGATACACTGGGCCTACAGTCCGCAGACAGACAAGCTGAAGAGCTATGTGGAAAAAATCGCCAAGAAGTCGCCAGAAAAACGGAAACTTGACACCGACAGCAGTAGCGTTGATAATAGTTCCAGCAGCAACTCGGAGTCGGATGAGAAATCTGTACCCAAAAAGAAAAGGAAGGAAGAATGATGAAAACACATATGCAAAACGGGCTGCGCTTTGTGTAACGAACAAAAACGGTATATACTTTATTTAAATTCGCCACCTGAACCTCAAATCGATTATATTTTGTGGTAGACACTTTGTTTTGTATATATGAATGTTATTTGATGTATGTGTGTATATACTGCTGATAAGGCCTCGCTTAGATGAGCTATACATCTAACGCTAGCCATCTAATAACCAAATATAAAACAATAAAAATGACCTGCCTCATCGTATGACTTTTAAATTTGAAGCTAACTGCTGGTTGGCTGTGATCGATAGATCTCGATTGCTTGTGGTGGTCTAGCGATTGTCACATCTCTGATCATCACTTGTCTGCCAACACTAGCTTTTATTAAATTGCACCGTTACTAACTTTGTATAATCCATTCATTAACCAAACCGAGTTGTACTGTAATGTAGCGCGTTCCCTCACACACACACACATATATACACACACCTACACGAAAATAAATTACATAATGTACATGAGATGTGGCTACACCCACACAATGGTGTTCCCACACTCCACCTACTGATACTTATGCAAGCCACTGTCATAGTAATCCACAGCCGTCGATTTCTGCACGCGAAGTGGTTGCGAATGCGAATGCGACTCCGGCGACGATTTGGCGAGCGACAAGGCCAGCTGATGCTGCTGATCTGCCTGCTTGCTTGTGAGGTGGCCATAGGCCATGTTGAAGAGCGCATCGGGATCACAGACGAAGCGATAGACATACCGTTCACCATTGACCTTCTGCATTATGCCCTTCTCATAGTAATAGCGCAGACTACGCGACAGCTTGTCATAGTTCATAGCCGGTCTGTTCTTTTGAATGCCCCAACGGCGTGCCACCTCCTCCGGCTCGATGAGCTTAAACTCCATGCCACGTCCTGTCCACGCAATGCAACTGGAGCTGGAAGTACGGCAAGTGAGGTGAAAGCACAGGGTATGTCAATCCCCTCCACACTTACCTAGTCGCGGGCTCATCCAGAAGGGCTACTAGAAACTGCCATAATTGAAGCGAGCCACGGCGCTGGCTAATGGTCTGCCCGTTGCTGCTGGTGGATATTGAATTGCTGGCATAGAACTGATCTAGACGCAGCTCCGCGTCGCTCGAAGTTGTGGAGTCAACCACAGCGGGGCGCAACGGTGGCGGATAGGTTGATGATATAGTGGCATTATAAGGACCACTCTCGTACTTAAGATCCGTCTCGCTACCGGTGGCTAAGCTGGGTGAAATATCGCGATACACTGTGGCATGCGAGTGGTTCTGCGGCTGCTGCTGGTGGGTATAGTGCGGTGCTGCTGCATAGACAGCAGAGCTGGATATGACCGCCGTGTGGCTAAATTTGAAGGCGGAGGCAGCATGCACCTGGGTCAGGTGTGCATGTCCCTG